GGGAAAGAGGAGACAGAGTGCCTAGTCTGGGGGGGTCGTTGCAATTTAAAATCAGAGAAGGCCCTACTGAGACCTTTAAGTAAATACCTGTAAAATGGGAGGGAAAATTATTAAAGTGTTGTCCTTCTGGACCCCACCTGTACCAAATCAGAGTCTACAGGGACGGGGCACTGACACATGTATTTTGAACAAACTTCATGTTACTGGGTGCCAGTAACATACACCAGAGAAAAATACTTCAGTAAGATCTGGCAATTCAGGTGCCCAGCAAGGTTTGGAAAGCCCTACTCCAGGGCTTCTTTCTGCCCAGAATGTGCACCCTTTGCTTTCAGGAATTTGGAGAAGAAGTGGGAGTGGAGGCTTGGAAATTAGCTCTAAAGTGGTGGTGGTGTGGCTATGAGCAGTGGAAAGAAAATAGAAATCGAGTCGGTATTGCTAAGAGCTCTCTAAAATGGAACCAGAGGCCTTTGAGGAAGTGTGAATTATGTGAGTCTCAGCCTGGATAAAATCTGATCTTTTGACCACTTATTGTCCTAATGAAGGCATTCAGAAGATCTGCCAGAAACTCAAGATACTTATCAGACCCCTACCTTATAATAACTCGTGACAGCCTATCTACTGGTCAGACCCTTACTCTAAAATAACTCATGATTCCTTAATGACAAATATTTCCTTTCTCGTGTCAGAGTACAGCCTTGTGGCTTTTGCCTTTGTAAGCCCCTGACCCTTTCTCTTCCCTGGAACACTCTTTTGACTTTACCAGAATCTGTGTCTCCTGAATTGCAATTCTTAAGACACCCCCCCCCCAATAAAGCTCTTTATTCTTTGCAGCCTCGATATTGATTATTGTTCAACAGAGATCACAAGAAATGGAATAATCCAAAGATTAATCCCTTCTTCCTCATCTGGTGCCAAGGAAGAAGGGAACAAGGGCTTCACTGGAGCCTATATTTCATCCATCTTGGGTTTTTGACAGTGAATGTTTCTTCAGGTTAAAATCTAACAGGGTATTTTTCTCACTGAGAATCAGAGTTCATGAGTGAAAGATTTTAGGGGTAATCTCTAAGAGCCACTACAAGGGAGGAAGCTGAGGTCCAGAGAGGGCTCTGCCTGGCTACACAGGTAGTTAGCAGCAGAGCTAGGATGAGGCTTCAACTCTTCTGACATCCAGACAGTACTGTTGTTGTCACAGGCATGCTAACGCATAGCCCTACCCAGTAAACATGTATGGTTAAATGGTTGAACTGAATAATTTACTAGGCATTTAAGAAGTCCTGCATTCCTGTTTTAGAGTCATTAATCCCACTTCCAAGTCCTCACTTTTAAGAGGTAGCCATCTAAGCCTTACCCCAGGCATGGTGTTGGGAACCTTGTTCACTTTCAGGGACATGACCCCATCTTCTGGTGTCCCGGCTGGGGGTCCTCAGTACTAGGGACTGGTCAGTGGCATTGACGTGGGGATCTTACATGGAGAGTCAATGAAGACTCAACTCGCTTGTTGCATTAGACTGAGAATTTGGGGGCCGTCTTCCTCTGCTGGCCCAGGAGACTGGCTGGCACCCAGTAACATGCGCCAGAGAAAAATTCTTCAGTAAGATCTGGTGTTAGAAAGCACCTGGCTCTGCTGCTCAACACTCAGGTGATTTTCCTCAAGGCATTGCTCTGCACCTGAGTGTCTTCAGTTGTTGAATAGAGATACTGCTCCTGCTCACTTCATGGGGTCTTGGAGGGATTATTTGTACTTTTGAAAGTTATTAATACACAGGTTTTTGATGTGTTGCTTCAGCGGCTTTGTGTTCTTGAAGGCAGAGATTATGTATATTGCACTTTTCATTATAAACCATTTATTGGCACCTGACCCCCTCTGTGCCTGTTTTTTCATCTGTCCACTGGAGACAATACAACTTATCTTGCTTCCCACACAAGGTTGTTATGCCCTTCCCATGAGCTAGTAACTGTGAAGGTCCTCTGTACATTGCAAAGAGCTTTACAAATGGAAGGCACCAGAAAAATTACTACTATTACTAGCAGTGCTTTGCACTTGACAACTTATGTATTTGAACAGAGCTACAGATGTAGGCAGTTTCTAAAGACTAAAATTGTTCACTGTCCCACAGGAGCACCCTTATCAGGATTTAACATCTGGAGATTTTTTCCAGATGTCAAAAAAGGCAGGTTTAGGATAGGTTTGGTTTAAATTGGAGGTTGGCACATAGACTCCAGGAACGATGCGGCGGACCCTTTAAGTATTGGGGTGGAAGGGCGGAGCCGTCGTCAGGGACGCGACTGGGCCGCTGGGTTTCCAGGAAGTGACGTCAGGCGGCCGCGGAGATGGAGGACGTGCTGGATCTAGGCGAGGAGCGGCGTCGCGGCTCGGCCACCTCCGTGAGGACCGACTCGGGGGGCTTGGGGCCAGGAATTAGCGGGTGGGGAGGAGCGACCCCGCCGGCCCCGGCTTCCCTGAGCCCCCTCGGCCCGGCCTGTCCCTGGCGGCCTGAGCGGGCCGGCTCTGAGCCTTGCGGGGGTGAGGCCGGGGAGGAGGCGGCCTCCCTCGCCCCGCCCCTGAGGCAGCGGTGAGCTCCTCAGCTGCTGGCCTAGGGTTTGCTTTCTTTAAAATCCTCAAAGAGTGGAAAACAGATCCTGCCCCCGCCGGCCTCTGGGACCGGTGGGAAATTTCCCAGCTTCTCTCCGCTTTCTCGAGCTCCAAGTGCCAACTCCTCTAGAATGGACAGATCTGAGGGTGACAGGAGGGGCCCTGGCCAGAGTCACGCTTGCACTCATCCTAGTGCTTTTCCCTTGGGACATCTCATGGCAGAAGTTGATGTAAAAACCGTACTGTTTTATGCATGGAAGGAAGGAAGGCGTTAGACAGGGAGGTCCTTTCTTGCCACTAATCCCCATGGGGAGGTGGGCGTTACCTCAGTTTTATAGTTAAGGAAATAAAGATTTATAACGCAGGGGAGTGGCTAGGTGCTCGGGGGACCCAGAGGTCAGAGGGCGTGTAAAGCTGTTGCATGGGTTAAAAAATGTCAACCTCCAGGAACCTCGATTTCCTTATGTCTAGAATGGAGATGTTAATGTCTACTTCAAGGAGTTGCAGTGAAGATGAAATGAGGCGTGCGTGGAGAGCATTTAACACAGTGGCTGGCATGTGCTAAGTTATTAGAAGAGGTTAGCGACTGTTGCTTCTGAGACTGTGATTTACCCAAGCTTATATATAAATAAGCTGAGCTAGATTCAAGACCCAAGATCAGTGTGTGTGTGTGTGTGTGTGTGTGTGTGTGTGTGTGTGTGTGTGTGTGTGT